AGCTTGCTGCCTAAAAAAATAAAAATGGTTTCAAGACTGGAGATGCGCATTAGAGGCTAGGTGAAAACTGGCAGAGATATTCTGGGCAAGCTTCTTAACATAATTTAGGAGGTCTCATTACATGGTCTTTAAGACCCCATCAAATCTAAGATTTTAATATTCTCGGATTTAATCTTTGAGTTCTTGATTTATCATGAAATTTAAGGCAACTGATTCTACACATACAACAGATGCCCATAAATGTGTTTATATGTATTGAAAATATAAGAACAATCTGTGTTCACTAGGCACACACATGCTATAGATGTTTGGAATGGCTATTCTATTATTTGTGTTCAAAACAGTCGGGAAAGTTTTACTTCTCTCTATATGTATTCATGCTGAAAAGAAATTTATTAAGCAAGCAAAAGATATATCATAACATTCTGGTTCCAAAATAAACAAGCAGAAATCCTTCAAACTACAAATTTAAAATACTATTAAATTAATATACTGTAATAAGAAAAACCTACAACCTGATGAGAAATATTTATAGGTCAAAGAGGAGCATAAGAAAATGGATAAACATGGTGATAATTCACAAGACCACCGTGTAGCCATGTAAAATATAAAACAGCAAAACAAACACAAATACAGCTAAAACATAAAAATAACGGAGGGTTTGAAGAAAGAAAAACTAGTATAAGTTTGATTTACCCTATAAGATTTAGAAATACATTCCAATACAAAAGATAGTATAACTGTATATAACATAAAATTCAAGAAATTTATTAGAATTTCTTGCAGAACTTAATCTGTAAAGGAAATAAAAACAAGAAATGATACAATATGAAGACTCCTTAATAAATGATGGTGCAAAAATGCCTAATATGCCAGGTTCTATGGTGCATGCTTGCAATCCCAGTGACCCCAGACGCTGAGGCAGGAGGATTGCAAGTTCAAGGTCAGCCTTGCCAATTTATCGAGGCCCTGTCTCATGATGAAATAAAAAGAAGTGAAAAGGTCTAGTGATGTAGCTCAGTGGTAGAGTATTCCTGGATTCAATCCCTAGTAAAACACACACACACACACCACATCATCATCATCATCATCATAAATAAATAAATAAATAAATACCTAACAATATTTATCCCTTATCACATCATCTATTATAATAAATACCAGATGACTCAAATCACTCCATCAGTTCACTAATTAATTGTAAACAAGGGAAAGCAGGAAGGATTTTCCACCATAGCAAGGGGATGAGGATACATATGATAGTATTAAAGAAATAGACTGTATCATAAGAACAATATTTTGAAATACAGCAATAAGTCATACAATGTCAACTTCACAGAAAAGCAGAAGTTACGGTAACTTTCACCCCAAATAGCATGAAGTCCGTGAAACTATTTAAGGCTGGGAAGATGAGTAACAAATGCCTACACGCTCGGGTTCGGGTTTCTAACTGCTATTCTCCATTGAAAGAAACTAGGGTTCCCTGGAAAGTGGGTGGACCTGGAACTCAGAAATGCAAGATGAGCCTGGAGCACTTATGATAAGGCAGGGAGTAAAGAAAGTGAGAAAGTGAAGGAAGAATGAAGACTGAAAGTGAAGGACTAAACAGTGGGAGAGAGCAAATCATCAAAAGGACACAGAAGCACAGAGCTCCTGAGGCTAAATCTGGAACAATTTGAGTCAAGATAAATACTAATAATAGATTACAAACCATAGGATATAGAACATTTTTATGATCTCACATTGATAGAAATAGATAAGTTGTATCCATGAATACATAATTAAGTAGATAAGCTAAATAAATGAACAGGGACTTCTAGCAATCTAATGTAAAAGACAATACTTGAAACATGAAGATTTATATATTCAAAATTGCTTGTGCGTTAATCCATTAATTCCAGCATTATTATAATAAATGAATACCTGAAATGGTGGTTTGCCTGGAGGTGAGTTAGTTTACAATTATTAAAATTCCACAAAATGTCTGAGAAAATATTAATACACAAAACACTCAACATCTGTATTTATAATGTGTGCTTCAATTTGGTTAAAATACACATGAGTGTGAACGTTGTGTATTTGTGTGTGTGACTGTGAGTATGTGGATGTATTAACATAGGAAATGTTCAAAATGGTAAAGTCACATTGAAATAAGAAAAAAAAAACATGCATGATGGTATTGGATTTTGTTTACAAATTTTCCAAGTTTTCACTTTCATGTACAAAATTTGTAAAATACAGGTAATTGGCAACAGGGAATGCATACCTCAAATATTTTAAATAGAAATAGTTTGGGCCATAATACAGGCAAATACATGACTTTCTTCATTTGTTTACGATAGCTTAAAAGGCCACCATATATTTCTCTACTGCATTGCTTTATGTGAAAAAAGTTAGAAACAAAAGTCTCACCCCCCCACACCCAAATAAGAGGAAGGGTATAAATTATTAACTTTATCTTGTTTTGGAATATGTCCACACAATGTCTCACATATGAATAAAAAAAAGATTCATCGACTCTTATAGATCATTTTTCTACCAAATAATTTTACTTTCTAAAGTGTTATTTTTTATCATACAGATACAATTTTCTAATGAAATATGATATACATAATATGTATTAAATAAATATTTGAAATTTCAATGTTTTTATTAATTAAGTGAACTCATCAGTTGAATCCAAATATATATATCAGTTGAATCCAAACATCTATAATAAGATGCTACTGCATCTATAGGATGTATCTATAGAATGTATATATACTTTAGCACATTCATTTGTAAAATATTTATATACATTAAGCATTTTTATGTGTCAATTTTCTCTCTAGAATAAGCACTCTGTATGTAACTATATAGCATGCAAAATTTTAATGTTTCAGTGAATAATTTAATAATGTATACTATGTTAAATAATTTCATGCAAAATTAATATTTTATCTTATACGTTTAAATAATGACATCTAAAATTTTATAACATAATGAAAAATGGACAATGGGTGAAATAAATATATGTAACAAAATAAAAATAAGACACTTAAAATAAATTAGAACACAGTATGTTGTAGTTTGACTCTAACTATCCACACCAATGATCTGGTTGTGATTTCTATATTTGCAGCAAGTACTGTCTGGTCTTAGAAGGTGTGTATTCATTGCTTCACATTCAAATAAAATCAGTTCATTTAATCTTATGGCTGATTTGCCTACAAAATATTTTTTATTTTTTAAAAATATAATTTGTATCATACATGTACAATCTTCTAAACATAAGATGTAGATAAAGTATGGCATTTCAAATATTAGAATATTTCTCTTTTTCAAGAGCCATCTGGGGAACACCAAACAAAAAATGTGGCAATAGCTGTTATCCTTTATTTCTGCTAAAAATATTATGACTAGGAAACCAATCTATGGATAAAATAAGTCTCTTCATTTTTTAATTCTGCTCACTTACCTGATTTGCCGGCGCACAAGAGTGTCTGGCTCACAGTTCATAGTCAATATATGTTCAATTAAAGAAAATTGAAGTACACTATTTCTTTATGATATAGCTATGACAAGCTTTCATTTTGATTCATGTGAAGTTATAGAACTGTAGATTCATTAGCTAATCAAAGTGATATTATTAAACAAGAAAAGCCCCATATACAGTGAGACCAATTAAGTATGAATATGAAGAATACCAAATACAATCATCATACAAACACAATCCTCTGTAGACTTTTCAGTTGTGTGAGTGTGTAATAGAGGAAGAGGGACCATCTTTAATAAGGCGATATTGGAAAGCTGTGGTTTACAAATGTGATTAAGAAAAGGGTCTGCTGTTAATCAAGTAATGAGAGATGGATGTTTTACATAATTAAACTCCTGATGAAAATGTCAGTAATGGAAATCGGGAAGACAAACTGGAAAACACAAATTTAATCTTATAGACATCTATACCTTCTGAGGACTCATTTTCCTAAAGTAAATAAAGAACAAATTTCAGTAGGTAGACAAATAGTGTTTATTCTCTCCAAAACAAGATACTTAGCAAAAAAGGTTAAGTCAAATCTAATATCAGTTCCTACTACCATAAAGAAATATTTTTGTATGGATTAATAAAATTAACAAAAATAATCATAAAAGCTATTTATGGGGATACAACTACAGTTGACATTCTATAAGATTTGCTAGTCAACCTGTGAATATGACATGCATTTGAAAATCTCACCCTCTCCTTTCTTTTTTTCACATGTGTATGCATGTGTTTGTGTGGAAATCTATTGTTATGACATGTTTTTTGGAATAATGCAGAAACACAGTTTTCAGATTCAAACCTTCTGATATGGTCACAAAAAAAAAAAATCCCTCAGGGCTTCTTATGGTGGTGCACACCCATTGTCATAGCGACTCAGGAGACTGAGGCAGGAAGATCACAAGTTCAAGGCAAGCCTCGGGAACTTGAGAAAGCCCTAAGCAATTTAGCAAGATCCTTCCTCAAAACAAAATCAAAAATAAAAAAGGAAAAGGGATTGGGAATATAGCTCAGTGGCAAAGTGTCCCTGGTTCAATCCCAGTACCAAAAAAAAAAAAAAAAAAAAAAATACGGCAAAAAACATCTATCACACTGCATTCTGTTCAAGAACTGTGAGAAATAACTGTGTCCTGGTATCCCTCAAATTTGTAAGAATTAAAAGCAATCTTTGTTTTTTCTTTCTATTAAAATTTCGGGAGAATGTGTGAAAGTAGATTAAACTCTTTCAGACCCTTCAAGAGAAAGCACTGTTCTTTGTAGCAAAAGAAAAAAAAATAGGCCTTGCAAGCAATTCTGAAAACACAACTAGGATCCATTTTGATAGTCTTCTATCCTCCAAGTCAAAGCAGTGGAAGTCTGCTACCAGCACTTTCAGGAAAGGCACTGTTGACTTCTCCTTTTCTATCTCATTTCATCATGATTCTTTCATTGGATTTACTCAGTCAATAATTGGGAGGGGGAAAAAAAAAGGATTCCTTACCCCTTGGGTGAGATGTGATGGAGTCCACTAGCGAAGGGTCCTTTTCTCCATCTTTGCTGCCTCCGCTGCAGCCTTCGCTACCGCCATCTCTCTCAATCAGTTTATCTACCATAGCAATAATGCAGTTCAGGCTCTTCCCCACGTTGGCCCACACCCTATCCTGAAAAGAGCATGAGTATCACTACATGCTTTGATTGCAAGAACAAGACAAGGCAAAATCAGGTGCATCCAGTTTAGAGAAGCAGTGAGGCAGGTGGAGGAACTCGCTGAGATTCTCTCATTCATTAGGTCAGACTGTGGATATACAAGAAATCCGTTTTCTCTGAATAAAGCCCAAATAAAGTTTTCCTCAATCTCTTTTAGTGAGTCCATTATTTTTGCTCTGTCATAAAGAAATGATGAACTTATAAAATATTAATCCGTCACTGACTACAAATTATGACAGTTGAAACTAGAGATACCTGTTATCTTTATCAACACTTAGAAAGATACAGCAAAGATACAGCAGTATTTTTAAAGAATAGCTAGCTCTTGCATTACAAATCCTGTTTTAAAAAGTGGTGGTACCTCATAGATAATTGGAAAATTGCTATTTTAACCATTTTTATGTATATAGTTCACTACCATTAATTATAATCACATTTTTGTGTAACCATGACCTCTTATCCTTTATCAGATATTTTCATTTGCATAAACTAAAATTCTGCACCACTCAGACATGAATTCCCCATCCCTGGCAACCATCATAGTTTCGTGTAACTATGAATTTGACTACTCTAGATACCACAAAATCCTGAAAGTGTGGCTGGCCTTCAGACCACCTCTAACAGAATGGCCTAGTAGATTAATAAGCAGATCCCTGGGATCTACAGAGTCCATCAGAACCACTGGGGACAAATCAGTGTAAATTAAAACAAAAAATTTTAATATTTTTATAGTAGATGGACACAGTACTTTTATTTTATTTTTTTGTAGTGCTGAGGATCGAACCCAGTGCCTCACATGTACCAGGCAAGCACTCTATCAACCGAGCTGCAGCCCCAGCCATATAAATTAAAATTTTGACAAGCTTATCATATGCTTCTGACCACATCAAGTCTCAAAACCTCTAAGTCATTTGGTGTGATTTACTTCCTAGGAAGTGTCTCACATTACCAAGAAGTCTCTGGGTCACTAATCTTCAGATTAGTACCCATATTTGTTTAGGGTGATCCACCAAACTGAATTCTTTGATTCATAAAAATTGCATTAACTTATTTATTATTTTTGGAGACCAAAGATGGACCCCAGTGCTTAACCACTGAGACACGTCCCTAGCCCTTCTTTATTTTTTGAGACAAGTTCTCACCAAGTTGCTTAGGGCCTTGCTAAATTGCTGAGGCTACATTTGAACTTGGGGTCTTCCTGCCTCAGCCTCCCAAGCTCCAGGATTACAGGTGTGTGCCACTATGTTTGTCCCCATGAATTTTTTTTTTTTAAACAGACATTTTAAACATAGTTATCCAGATGGAAGTCTATCACTCCTGGCTTCCTTCCTCACTGTTCTTTGCACTTGAATTAGATGAAGGCACTGACTCCCCTATCCCTATCTCCAGATTAAAGATCCAAATGGATTTCTGGTCCTTTCCCAGCATTATGCCACAGAGTAATATTTCAGTGAGCACCTTCTCTGTCCTAGAGCTATTTTAGGCACCTGGAGTATCATTAAATATAAAGACAAACTCAAATATAGTATGTCGTTGGTAGTTTGTATATTCTCCCCCAAAATGTATATTTATCACCTAAGTTAATTTCGCTAGTTTGTAAATAAGTAAACTAATTTGGGAGAGGATAAATCTATGGAGAGAGAACTTAGTGGAATTTACATTATTTGATGCTTGTCTCTTGTAATGACTAAGTTAGATGAATAATTCAATCATATTAAACCAAATGTAGGTCTGGGTAGTCACACAGTTGAGCTGAGGAAGTAATGGGGGGTTTTAGAAAAGCAAAGGAAAGTTAGAAAAGGTAATTCTGAGGTCCTCATGGGAGATGCTACTAGGAGACTTTGGAGCAAGCACTTCATCTCTGGGGAACCAGAGTTTTCTCCTCTATAATTTGGTAAGATAATTCCTGCTCCACCTGCCTCACCATGCTGTGGTAGGAACCAAGTATCACAGCATGATTTCTAGCAAAGTGTTTGGAAAAAATTATTACATTTTTACACAATTTTATCCAGCTTTATGGGCTTCCCTAAATGAGTCAAGTTTCTTTCCCTCAACATATAATCCTGAATGGGAAGTATGCTATGAATCACAAACGATTATAAAAATCCTTCCCTTGAAAGGAGATCTTTCCTCCCAAAACTGAAAGCACTTCTCTTCAAGAAAATGAAGACCCTGTGGAGTACATCACCCTCTTCCTACTGTCTGACAAGATGAAGGGAGGTACCTCTGAGCCAGGAACCAGGGGTCCAAGGAAGCTCACCTGTGCAGGAGAGGTGGGGGAGGAAGGGCAGGCAGCCTGAGGGCCAGGTATCACTCACATTGGGCTCTCACATTCCAAACCCAATAGCCAACTTGACCTTTATTCAGAATACGACTGAATGACTACCAACTACCAACTGCATCTTTAAGGTGGTTCAATTGAAAAATCCAGCACCAGTCTAGCTAATCCTGGGAACAAAAACGCTTACTTGGGAGAGAAAAGGGGGAGGAGATTCTCCTCAGTTTTCCAGGTTAGCTTTGTACATGAGATACATTTTCAATGCTCTTTCTTTTGCCAGTGTTGAAAGGAACTTTATATTTTGAACAAATACCAAAAGTAATGTTTCATGCTGCCTTCCTGATGGAGAACAATATCAAGGATGGATCAACTGCTCTTAATGATGTTCTGAAGAGCCCGCACATAAAGAACATTAAAAGATAATGTGACATTCACACCTGTATACTGGCAGACTCACCCTATTCTTTATCTTTGGAAAAGAGATGGTGAGAGAACTCAGCTTTGGTACACTGCCTCCTTCTCTTTAATGGCCTCTACAGAGTAGATTAAAGTTATTGATTTGTGCCTTTGTCTCTCAGGCTGGACTGTGAACGATTTGAGAGTTCTATTCACACTGTAGACAAAGGGCCTGGTTCTCTGTGACTTTTGTTGGAAGAAAGGAAGGGAAAAAGGCACAGAAGGAGGGAGGAAGCAAGAAGGGGGAGGAGTGGGGTGACTCCACTTCAGAGAAGAAGAGCTGGTATCTATATTCATTTGACATATGCACATTGGCTAATTTAACCTTCAAAAACTGCCAAATGAGCTTAATATTATTGACTTAGTCTTTAGGGAAATGAAGAGACTTTGGGTCAAAGATGTAGAATAACTATTTTTAACACTAAAATGTTAGAAATGTTCTAGAAATACAAACTTTTGGACTCCAAAGACTTGATTCTCTCGCCGGAATAGTCAGAAGGAGGGGCCAGGAAAGTCAGATAGAGGGGAGTGTCATTTTGCAGGAGTAAGATGAGGATAAGTTATCTGAGACTTGAAAATGAGTCTACCAGCAGCTCCTAGACTTAACAATGACTCTACAATATGAACACACTGGTCAGATGTACCCATAAGTGTGAGTCCAAGAGTGTCCCAGTAACAGGGATGGAGCAGTGCCTACTGGGCTACCGTGGCTTCAGGGACCATCAGCATGAGTCAAGGAATATAAATGGCCAACATTTACAGAGGATCAAGGCCTCAAGTCCATTCAAGTGACTGGAACAGAAAAAAGATTAAAAGTTACAGGAGGAAAGATAATAACTCAGTTAACGAAGAGCCTTGAGTATAAGGTGGTCCATTCCTTTGAAAATAGGATATCAAAGATAGGTGGGCAAGATGCTTAAAGGGGAATTTTGAATATCTGAGTTTTTTTCAAGCAAGCCAGTTTCTTTACATCTCTGTGAAAACATGCACAAAGGACAATAACCAGCAATTACACCTTCTCGTTCTGATGACTATTACTCACAAGGCCAGCTCAAATTCTTCTTGATTGAATTGTTGGGTCTACTCAGTGAGGCAGCCCCCATGCTGAAGAAGGCTGGTTAGGGAGAAGACAATGGGAGCCCAGGAGCCTGGCTGCAGAATAAGGAACCTCTAGACCTCCACCTTCTCTTTAGCCTGAGGAAGTAGCCTCCCCATCCTGTTTAGTTCTTCTTCCCCATGAGAGGGTTAAAAATGACCACTACCTATCACACACACACACACACACACACACACACACACACCACACAAGATTGATGGGCCTTTCCCCAGAAATAGCAGCCAATACCCTGCTGGGCCTCTGGCTGTGCTAAGGAGCAATGGAACGTTAGTGGGTCCCAGTGTAACCTTTATCTTGGAGGCTTAATTTTAATCAATGTTGTTAACCTTAATGGAACTTTCATATCACCTCCTTGGAAAGGTGAAGTGGCTGTAAACCTTTTCTGATTACTGAGGTTACAAAATGAGTGAGGAACTAGTTGCAATGTTTATTCCATTCTAAGTCAGGTGAGGTCTAGGCCATAATTTATTTCCTGGTTAGGATCTAAGTGAATATAAAGGTCAAGTCCAAGGACACACCTGCAAAAATTTGATGGATGCATCAGTAAGTAGCCAGGGGGCCCTGACAGTTGGCAGAGTTGGTTAGGATAGGGGTCATAGTGCTTACTCAGCATGTCACATGTTTATGAACTTGGTGGTATTCAAGAGAAATCCTGAGTGCTTTGGATCAGCAGTTAACTTCAAAAGGAAATTTCAGTAATGCTTAGCTGATCAACTTTTCTAAGGCCAAATTTTGATTAGCAAGTATGTGAAGATGCAACCAGAGCTGATATGGAGAGCCATAATAGCCCTGTCAGATATGTATTTCCATGAATAATTTCCCACTTGTCATAATCAATTTTAGAGGTCTTTGATTAGAAATAGTCAGTGAATTAACAAAGCTGATCCCATCTTTATAAAGGAGCTTCAGTTTATCCTTGAGCTGAATGAGAGCAATTTGTTCTATACTGGCCAAGTTCCTTAACGCTGCAAACCTTTATTCCTTTAACATCTTGATAGCTCTTCTCTATGAACCCTAACTTTATCAAGCCAGGTAGGTAAAAGAAGTTGCATGTTAAATATTCTATGGTCCAGATAGTACATGGATGTTCCAAGCTACATAGC